TTTTTTGTTTCTTGCTTTTAACAGGCACAAAAGGAAGCTGAAGGCAGTTGTTGCTGGCTCCACAGGTAAGTTGCTGGGAATGTCCCATCCCTCTGTTTGGAGGAAGTGGAGACTAATCCTCACATGGGTTGAAGTTTAACAAACATGGCTTTGTGTTTGTTGTCAAGGTAAAGCATGTTTGGTTTTCTCTCTCTATCTACAGGAAATCAGGGGTTGATGGATATTCTGGATATGCCCAACACAAACAAGTACTCGTTTGAAGGGTGAGTGAGTGATACAATGGTGTTGTTGATATGAGCCTGTTTGTATATGTGTTAACAGAGCTCAAGACTGCTAAAATAATCACAGGTGTGGCAAAACTTAACATATTCATACTATTTGAGATATGTTCAAAATACAATGTTGATTATCATCTAACAGACTAAATTGCACGGTTTAATTGATTGCATCACAATGCATCTCTTTCTCTGTATGTGCTTGTAGAGCAAATCCAGTGTGGCTAGATCCTTTCTGCAGGAATCTGGAGTTAGCGGCACAGGCGGAGCATGAGGATGACCTTCCTGAAGACTTAAGTGACATTGCTGACCTCTGGAACAGCCCGGCTCGCACACATGTAATAAACTTGGAAAAAAAAAAAAAAAAGCACTCTCAGAATCATGCCATGGTGCATGTATTGTCATCACAAGAACCTAGACCTTCTCTTTGTCTTCTTTTACCTTTGTGGGGTACTTAAGTGTCATCTTCACTTTATAGGGTACTAAATAACTATCTTGTCTTTTATAGGGTACATTTGGACGTGAGCCTCAGGCCTCTAAACCAGAGGATGACCGATATCTACGAGCTGCTATTCAGGAGTATGACAACATCGCCAAACTTGGGCAAATCATGAGAGAGGGGCCCATCAAGGTGAGAACATTCACTCCAAATCTGATATCAGAGCTACTGATGAACCTGGCAAAGGTTGGAGAACATAAACAGGCAAACCAATAAAAATCTTTGATAGCATTTTTCATAGGAGATGGGATCATCATAGAGCTTCAGTACTTTTTGAGGCCTGATTCCTAGACACAAATCTGAACTATAACATTTTTCAAATGTATTTTCAATTTAGAATCAACATTTATGGTGTTATTTTGTCTTAAAACTCAGTTTGGGACCCAATATAATAAAATGTGGAGTGAGATCATGTTCTTAATGAAGTGAAATATCAGAATTGTGCTAAAGGATTCAGTTCATAAGACACTACATGACCAATGCTGCCATCCAATCAGGGCTCGCTGCTAAAGGTGGTTCTGGATGACTACCTGAGACTCAAAAAGCTGTTTGCCGCCCGCATGGTCACCAAGTCAACCAGCCACAGTGACCAGTCTTCAGTCACAGAGGTGGGCGATGTGACAGGGTGCTGTGTTTGCTCTTCCTGTACACCCTCTTCCTCACTGCTGGCTGACTACGTCTCCACCCTGTCCTATCAGTAGAAACCCTGGGTTCTCCTTCTGTCCAGAGTCATGTGACCCTGCTGATGTTTCTCAGGCTGTTTCACAGCCTGCTCACTGCTCTCCACTGCTTCACAGATGTGTTTGCTGCTCTCTGTTTCCTCTAAAACTGCTGTCAAATTGTAAGTTTTTTTGTTGTTAATGGTTATTTTTCTCCTTCCTTACATTGTCTTGCATCCATCCATGCATCCATCTACCAATCTAATTCCATATATGTATTGTTGAATCCATAATATCAATCATCTATCACTCCATCTGTCCTTCCTTCTACCCAACCATCATGCATCTATTTATTCATCAATGCATCTACCAATCCAAAATTCCACACGTCCATCTATAATTGCATCCATCAACAATTCCATCCCACCATGCATTTATTCATCATGCCATCATTGCATCCATCATTCCTTTTATTCACCCACATGCATCCATCTATTCATCTACCAATCCATAAATCCATGCATCCATCTGATTGATAACTCCATCCCACATCCACACATTTATCACTCCATCACCTACAAATCCATAAATGTATTCAACCATCCATAATTACATTCATCAACTAAACAAACCATTAATTCCTCCATTTACCCACTCGTCCATGCATCTGTCCATCCATGCATCCAACTACTATTGCATCTATCCATATTGCACATCCATTCATGACTCCATCATTCTGTTCATTGTTTTATCATTGTATCCTACATTCCTTGTATCCATTCACCAATCCATAAATGAATTCAATCATCCATCCACCTATCCAAACACCCAAAAAAAAACTATTATCCATCCACCATCGATCCATCTAACCAACCAACCATAAACCCACCCAACAAACCAACCAACCATCTATCCCATCCATTCATACATTCACCCACCCAACCAACCAACCATCCATCCATCCATGCATTCGTCACTCCATCATTGCATCAATTCCATTCAATCATTTCATTCATCCATCCATGTTCTCCTCTCTCAGCTGATCCAAAGCGACCTGGATGAAGATGACGACGAGTGTGTTGGTGTCGGAGGTCGAGGAACCCTTCGCTTCAAGCACAAACTCCCAATCGAGCTCAGGGGTCCTGACGGGGTGCATGCGGTTCACGGCAGCACAGGCACGCTGTTGACCTCTGACCTCAACAGCCTGCCTGAAGATGATCAGCGGGCTCTGGCACGCTCCCTTGAAGCCTTGCACGCAGATGGCGGACTGTATGCCGAACGCAACGCCCGAACAGAATCTGCAAAATCCACACCTTTGCACAGAAACAAGGGCAGCGACACTCTGTCTGAGAGTCCGTTAGAGATCACAGAATTATGACTAGCCGAGGCCTCGCTGGTCTGAGAAAACTACAACGTGCATGGCACTCCTGGCTCTTTGTTTTGAATGGAAACTCTTTCCTGCGATGTGGAGAAGAGTTCAGGTTTGTAAGGGCCAGGTGTGAGGAGGGTGTGTAGATGTGTGTGTGGACCTGGAACGTCCAAATCAAGGGCAGCTCATCTTGTCAGGGCTACTTCAAGAGTACTGACACTTTAACCACACACAAACTACACAATGGGCAATGAATGCACTCTCAGACCAGTGGAAGGCCGAATACGGACACTAGTTTTTATTTAGTTACTTTTTCATATTTCAGTGGGACACCAGGGAATAACATGGTGATGTATGTGTATAATGAACTCTTTGAACTGCTTATGAGAGTATATCTGTGGGGCTTGTCACACCGCGATTAACCCTGGGTTAAACATTATTTCACACTTGGAAATTGAAAAAGGGTTTAACTCTGGGTTCTGAAGCTAGAACAGAGTTGGCACTGTTTATTGCAGTGCCATGGGTATATAGTGTGAAACAGTGCAGTGCTAGTAAACGTTGATGAGTTTAACAATAGACAACCAGTTGTAAATGAATTCATTCAAATATTCATGCACTACGTATGGCTGCAGGAAGTATCTTTTTACGATATGTTTAGTCGAATAGTCAGTGTTTAAAAATGTTGAACAACGATGGTAAACATGTTAACTGGAGAGAATAAGAAACAGTATTATTTTATTATTTTTGTATGTATATTGTTTTTCTATAGTGTTAAAATTCACAAAGCACGATTGCAAAGGTTCTCATCTTTTATGCAGGGGTCCCAAACAGTTCCCTTGACTGCCATTGCTTTTACATTTACATTTAGTCATTTTGCAGACGTTTCTATCCAAAGCGACTTACAATTGGGAAATACATAAAGCGATTCTTCTTAAAGAGGCAAACAGATACAGGAAGTGCTCGTAATACCAAGTTTCAGGCATTTGTTCAAATAAGTACAAGCTAGAAAGGGATGGAATAAATAAAAAGACAAAGTTTTTTTTTTTTTTTTAATTTAGGATGAATTTATTTGTCGAAAAATGGATATCCCCACCCTAAACGCACGCCATTAGTTGAGCTCATGTTGCCGCGTCTTTTCGCCCAATCCAACCTACAAATGGCTGGCTTTTAGCTATCGCTACTGCTATAGTATTATTGCGGTACCCATACTTCAAAATACTGTCGATGTCACAGTATTTTCCAGATCCGTTCCATAATGCATTACGTTAGTAAATATACTCACATTCGGTACCGAAACTGAACTTCGTTGTGTAGTGGAGCTTGTAGCTCAGAAGCGTTTGGCATGTAGTTTGAGTGGTACTATGCTACTACGGTTTAATGAAAAATATGAGACGATACACCTTTAAGGCAAGATGGCCACATTTCCATGTTTATAAAAGCAGGTTGCGTGCTTTAAAATGTTAACATTTGTGATCACTGAACATGACAACCCAGGGTAAATTATTAACAATGTAAAAACGTGCTTTATTTATTTATAAACCATGGGTTAACATGTAAGTGTGAAAAGCCCATTTGATATAAAGAAGAAACGACCACAAGAACATAGACTGTACTGCAAGCTGCTCTGTCGGTGTCTTTATAGTGAATTTTAAGACATCACAAAAATGACTTAATGAACTATCTTTAAAAAAAAAAATTGTGAACTATCTGAAAAAAGTGGAAGACTGCATTCAAGAAAATGGACTAAAAGCTGTTCCATGGACCAATGAGGAAAGCCAGTCAGCAGACCAAACACTGTTTCCACTGAACACTGAGGCCAGAGGTTTGGTCAACTACAAACTTATGTGTCATGTGTTTTAATAAAAACGGCAGTGAAACTATTCACAGTGAAACTAGTGCTTGAAAGGTTCATGCCATGCCATAACTCAATTTTACCTTAAAAAAAAAAAAGGGAAAAGTCAACATTAAAATATAAAAGTCAAGCTATTATGTTTCATTTACAGAACACTGCCACCTAAGGGGGAAATACCATGTCTTTATTTTCCTTTACTTTTTTGATAAAGAAAAATAAAGATTACAAAAGATATTTTTGGAAAAGAAAAATGCTGACCTACCAAACAGAGTTAAGTATAAATGGTTGTATTTAATTGTATTTATTTTTCAACATTTTATACCAGATTATTTAAATGGTGTGTTTTAAGGCATTATAATTTTTTATATCCCCTTTTTTGTAAGTTTTTTTCCCTCTCATTATTGTCTAGTCACCAGCGATGAGGCTGTAGATGGAAAATCTTTGTGGATCCTGTTTGAATAAAGAAAATATGCAACGGTTTTGCCTTAAGGTCCTGAAGATGATAAAATATTGACCAAAGCAGCAGTCATCATGAGGATGGCATTCCTCTATGTATTGAAGCCTAGCAGCAGGATATTAAAGACAGTAACGTGGCCCATGATACACGTACACACTGCACTGACAGAAACTAGAATATCTCAAAAGTCCTGTTACTTATTGAATAGTGTATTAAAATCAAACTGGAAAAGTTAAACGATTACACAATCATGACACCCATATAAATGCTGCCATCAAAGTGGAAGGTATTTTTTGTTGGAATATGTTGTGAACCCAAAGTTGTCCAAAATAAATGGAAAGAAAAATGTAGTTTTGTATTGTTTTTAATCATCTTGCTAGATTATGCAAGTGAATACAAAGATTCTTCTGCCACCTAGGGGCATTTATACTAGAATAGCAGGCCTTCATGTTTGTAAAATGTAAGTGTAAACAGATACTTAGAGCCTCATTTATGATACATGAACATTATGTAAATTGTCACTGAATTTAATGTGGTAATTTACACAAGAACAGTTTATGAATAATTAAAGAATTTTGTTTCAGACCCAATACATTTAAGATGTAAACTCAAAGACGACGCTAAACTACAGTTCAGCCACATCAAAATGTATTGATTTAGAAAACAAGACTTCCATCAGATTCACTTGTGTCCAGAACAAGTCAGTGAAATTAACTGAAAGGGCTTACATTATAGTTCAGAAATGGCCTCCGATTGGTAAAAGAGTATCAGAGGTGGTTCCTGATTGGTTGAGAAGTCTGGGTTAGCCTGTGATTGGTGGATATCACAGTCAGATCAAATTAGGGTTTGATTAGTTCTTCTGGTTGGATCTGCATTATGTGGCACGTGATGTGGAGTTGCTCAAACCAGAGGAGGCACCAGTTAGAGGCATTTTCTTCAGTGTTCGGTTAAGCTACAGAAGATCAAAGAGGTACAATCAAAATGTGACAACATAGACGGTTCATTCAAAAACAGATCCATAAACTAATTTAACGAGGAAATAAATGTATAGAAATGTACAGAAAATCTACATAAATGTAAATGTTTAAAAATTATTCAAGAGCACGTACCTCCTCAAACTTGTGGATCTGTCGGATAAAGAAATCTCCATAGCGACGGGCAACCTTGGTGTCTGCAATATGGATCATATCCTGGTGGAAGACCAAGTAAATTCACTATTAGAGTGACTCGCCAGTAAAAAAAAAAAAAAACTAAATATTATTTTCAAAATAATAAGACAACTGGCATGAATATTGTAGCCCCATATTTAATCTCAGAAATTAAAGTGTTCAATTTGGCGGTTTAAAGACAGAAACTCGACACACACACACACCTTGTCAATGTAGAAGTCGACCTCAGAGGCAGACTGAAATTCTCCATCCAGAGCAGAGATGCCACTGGTCCACACCAGGTTCTTCATCTTGTGTTTGAAGACCAGCAGCTGGATGCGAAACTCCTGCTCGGACATGTCCAGGAATCCAGCCAGTTTGGCCACAGGCATGGTGGTGTAGAGCTTCAGGAAACTGACAGAGACACATGGAGTCAGCAGAGGACATTTCAAAGTGAAGGAGAGCTCATTACACATCATCATAGAATTCTTGTTCTTCATCCAAAGAGACAGACCTGCCCTCAACATGAATAAGCTGCTGTTGTACCTGCGGATGGTGGAGAGCTGCGCCTGCTGCTGCACCTCCTCTGCAAACACCTTGAGCTGCTGCTGGAATGGTTCTTTGTGATAATTTGGATGAACATTATCATAGTTTGGAACTACGGGTGACAGAAACTTGGGGCAGGCAAAGCTGAACAACTCCTCAAACACCTGAAGATCTCTGAAAAAGAGAAAAAAAACCCTCAATTGCTCCTTTTATTGTCTATATAAATTATACATGATATATTATCATTTTAAAATATATGCTATATTGAATATACTTTGATCAAAAATTTTGGGGAGAGTAAGTTTTTTTTTTAAACATTAAATTGAGCAAGGATGTATTAAATTAATCAAAAGTGACAGTAAAGGCATTATAACATTACAAATGATTTTCATTTCAAATAAATGCTGTTCTTCTGAACTTTCTATTTAACAAAGAAAATTCATCACAGAAATAAAAAACATTGAAATGGAAGTCATTTTAATTTCCAATAATATTTCACAATATTACTGTTTTACTGTATTTTTGTTCAAATAAATGCAGTGAACCTAAGAGACTTCTTTCACAAACATAAAAAAAATAAAATAAAAAATGTTACCATCCCCAAAGTTTTGTATGGTAGTGCATAGGGATGCTCCGATCCGCCTTTATCGCCTCCGATACCGATTCCGATACCTAGGGCTCGGTATTGGCCGATACCGATCCGATACTATGAGCACGAAGCGCTTACAATGTGCGCATCCGGTGTGCAGAATGATGCGCTTGAAGCAACATGGAGTCACAGCCTGTGTTGTTTCAAGCGCAGTGTTGTTTCAAGCGCATCATTCTGCACACCGAATGCGCACATTGTAAGCTCTTCGTGTTAAAAACTACAAAGCACAAAGTGAGGAGAAATTGATGCGTAGTGTATTATATCTGTGCAGACATTTATTCACAAATCAAGTATAATGGGAACACAGAATGATCTTGGAGAGAGCTTTACCTAACTGACTGTCGTAACTGAACGCAACCAGGGTTTAAAGGGGTCATATGATGCGATTACAAGTTTTCCTTTCTCTTTGGAGTGTTACAAGCTGATTGTGCATAGATAGGTGTTCGGCCAATCACAATGCACTGGGTCAGCTGGCCAATCAGAGCAGACTGCGCTTGTCAAAGGAAGGGGCTTTGTTGAAAACGACGTGTTTGAGAGAGGCGGGGCATAGAGGACCTACAATAATGTACAGTATTTGAAAAATAATGTTTTTTGAACATTAAAGCATGTCAACATATTCTGTTACACCAAATACACAAAATAATGATCTTTAAAAAAGCATCATATGACCCCTTTAAAGGCTGAACGAATGACTGACAGCCACAGCGGAGAAAAGAGTTAGTGTGAACTTTAATGTAAGGACTTAAATATTCATATGTAGCTCACATTAAGGTATTGTATGGCTTCAGAAGTAACACAGAATAATTCGCACAATTGGGAAAGGAAAAAAAAATTAAATAAAATAATCTCGGATTTGGATCGGCCCTCTCTGACCGATACCCGATCCGAAAAAAATGGCACTATCAGAGCCGATGAATATCGGATCGGCGCATCCCTAGTAGTGCATACATACATAACTTAGCATAATGAGTGTTCTCACCCTTTCTGCATGCGGAGCATCTTGTCTCCGTATTTCTCGCGCAGCTGTGTGTGAATGCTCTCGTCGATGCGCATGGGGTACATAGTGAGAGCGATGGCCAGCAGCCCGTGCATCTGCTCATTCTGTTTATTAATCTGTTCAGAAAACAATAAACAATTTAGATTAAGCATCACACCATTATGACAGTACAGACTTGAAAGTACAACAGAATGAAATACAATCTTGAAGTAAAACACCTGGAATATCAATGCACAAAATGACAGCACCTTCATCAGGAATTACATTTTTTGGCATTTTGTATGTAATCAGCATTATCCTTTATGCAGTAATAGAGTAATTTGAGCATTTTAACAACCAATACTACAAAGACAAAAAGCACTGACCATCTCATACTTGTAAGTGGTTCTCTGGAACATGTTTCTGGTCCTCTGGATGTACAGCAGGATGTTGGCGAAGACACGAATAGCATCCTGATAGCGTCTCATCATCAGATACGCGAAACCCACATAATAATAGGTGGTGATCTGACACTCGGGCACACGTGAATACATGCTCTGAAAAACACAAGATAACCAGATTTGATTTGATGAACAATGTTAGCACGCTGCCGCACCTCTTTTTTGTCTTGAGTAGGGATGTAACGGTATGAAAATTTCTTATCACGATTATAGTGACCAAAATTATCACGGTTATCAGTATCATCACGCTATTGTTAAAATGTGCTGAATATGTTAAAAAAGTACCGACACATAAATCACTTCAAGTTTTATATTTAAAAATCAACAAGCAACAAATAAAAATACTTTTTGTTTGCATAATCACTAAAACAATAACATTACCAATGATGTTCGGATTTTAAATGACAACTTGACTGACAACAGTTTAATAGCATGTTGAAATATCTAATGTAAATGTTCAAATAAAGCTTTGAAAAAGTTTAATAAAAAGGTAAACCTCACATTTCAGCCTTTAAATAAAGAATAAAGATATAAGTCGAAATGATAAATAATTAATAAATGATTATATGTATTTTATCTGCTCCATAAATAATTCTAGATAACTTATCTGAATTGTTTAAATGTGTAGAATCCACATAAGCTTGTTTTTCATCAACCGGTCAAAATTGACAGCAGGGCATGCAAATTCGGTCCGTTTTTGGCCAGACAGAAACCGCACACAGGCTGAATGTAAATATAAGTCTCTGTAAATCCACTCGCTGACAGCAGATGGCGCTTATGGAAAAGCTGAAATAGAGCTGTTTCCGTAACCTCCGTGGACAAAGCAGTATTGCGATTAAGAACACTT